TCTACAAAAAATACAAAAATTAGCCAGGCATGGTGGTGCGCACCTGTAATCCCAGCACTCTCGGAGACCGAGGTGGGCAGATCACCTGAGGTCAGGAGTTTGAGACCAGCCTGGTCAACATGGTGAAACCCCGTCTCTACTAAAAGTACAAAAATTAGCCAGGCATGGTGGCAGGCACCTGTAATCCCAGCTACTCAGGAGGCTGAGGCAGGAGAATCGCTTGAACCCAGGAGGCAGAGGTTGCAGTGAGCCAAGATTGCGCCATTGCACTCCAGCCTGGGTGACAAGAGTAAGACCCCGTCACACACACACAAAAAAAGGTTATTTGCAAGTCACTGACCTTGCCTGGAAATATTAGTCTACCTCAGTTCCCTGAAGTAAACCCCAACAGATAACACCATGAGCCAATAACCAGGTCAGTATGTGGCAGCCCAAAAGGCCAAAAGCACCTGGTGGGCTACTGATCAGAGCAGATCAACTGAAGCTATGTAACTGCCACAGTAAACAAAATGCCACCTCCAGGCTGCAGGAATCCCATCTCAGGCTGAGCAAGTTTAATCGCTTCTGCTGCTGCTTCTTCATTTTCTTACAGGTGTTCACAGGAGGAAAAAAAAAAAACACACACACACACACACACACACAGATATGTCAGATTGAACAACTCTAAGGCAGACAACTGTTCCATCAGATTTCTAAGAAGAAAGAAAAAGAAAAGGAGGTGTCAGATATATATGCTTGAAGGAAGGCATGAGGGTGGGGAAGGGGGAGTAATAAAGACACAACTAGTGAATATGGCGAATGGTGAACTGTGCTGCCAATTGCAAAGTGACTATGTTTGAACACCAAATGAGGTTTCAGATACAAACGGCTTGACAGTGTTCCTCTATTGTTGAATTTTGAACTGAGAATCTCAGGGGATCCAGAACTAAAAAGGTGGGAATACCAAGCAGTGTGGGTCCATGTGAGTTGGCCTATTCTGGAACAAACTGAAAATGGCTAATTTATGAGGACTTTAAAATAACGTATTAGAAGAATGACCATTGTATAAGAGGGCAGGGGAAATTCTGCTTTGATAATTTGACAGTTCAAAATGAACACTGCATTTCCCCTAATTCAATCTTGATTTCCTTTAGCTAAATGTTTCCTTTCTTTACTACCCTCTTCACAAATCAGATGGAAGGGCTGTTTAGAGCTAACTCACTGGTCCTAAAAATAACTGGAGCTAAACAAAAAGCTCATTCTTGCTGGCATGAATGATCTTCCAGGTAGCTGCTGTGCAATGCCCCCAGCAGTAAGCTGAGCATTGCTGATGTATGTAACAGAGACAGGAGTCGGGCTGCAGTGAGAGGGCAGTGCTTGGATTCCACAAAGGTTGCAAGGCCCTCTGAGACTCAACAACAAGGGGTTCTAAACTTAGAACTACAGGGATCTGGTACGAGGCCTACACCAAAACCACTGGAGAATAAAGCAGATCTAGAGAAACACTGGCCAAGGAAGTCTCACAAACCACATGAAACAACATGAGAGGCTAGATAATTCCTCAAGAAAAGAGAAGAGAGAATATATATTTTTAACTATGCTGAGAGAAAGCTGATTTGGTATCTCAACATCCCATTCAAGTAGCCTCCTCAATTGTTGCCTCTGTCTGCATGCTTAGCACACACCAGGAGTAGGCCCTGGGAGCTCTCAATGGAAAGATACATGCTCAGATACGCACTTGGGGGATGGCTCGTACTTCCCTTTCTGTGACTTTCTTATAGCACCTCAATTTATGGAATAAAAGTAAATGAGCATTAGAAATTTAAAAAAAAATTAGGGCCAGGCACAGTGGCTCATGACTGTAATCCCAGCACTTTGGGAGGATGAGGGGGGCGGATAACTTGAGGTCAGGAGTTTGAGACCAGCCTGGCCAACGTGGTGAAACTCCATCTCTACTAAAAATATAAAAATTGAGTGTGGTGGCAGGCATCTATAATCCCAGCTACTTGGGAGACTAAGGAACGAGAATCGCTTGAACCTGGGAGGCAGAAGCTGCAGTGAGCCAAAATCACTCCACTGCACTCCAGCCTAGGCAACAGAATGAGACTCCATCTCGAAAAAACAAACAAACAAATTAAAAAAACCCACAAAGTAATGAAGAGAAAGATCTCAAAAAAAAATTTTTCGAGACAGGATCTCATTCTGTCACCCAAGTGTTGTACAATGGTGCAAACACAGCTGACTGCAGCCTCCACTGGTTGGAGGATCACTTGATCCCCCAACCCCAGCCTTTCAAGTGGCTCAGACCACAGGTATGTACACAGGATCTCACTATGTTGCCCAGGCTGGTGTTGAACTTCTGGGGTCAAGCAATCCTCCTCCCTCAGTCTCCCAAAGTGTTGGGATTACAGGCATAAATCATTGTGCTCAGACAAGCATTAGAAATTTAAATCAATAAAATGAAGGGGCCGGGTATGGTAGCTCATGCCTGTAATCCCAGCACTTTGCAAGGTTGAGGCAGGAGGATCACTTGTGGTCAGGAGTTTAAGACCAGCCTGGCCAACATGGCGAAACCCCATCTCTACTAAAAATATAAAAATTAGCCGGGTATGGTGGCACACACCTGTAATCCCAGCTACTCGGGAGGCTGAGGCAGTAGAATTGCTTGAATCTGGAAGGCGGAGGTTGCAGTGAGCCAAGACTGTGCTACTGTACTCCAGCCTGGGCCACAGAGCAAGCCTCTGTCTCACAAATTAAAAAAATAAAAAATAATAATAGTAATTTTAAAAAATGAAGGGACTAAGAGAAAAAAATCAAATGATTTGCTTCTCCTGCAGATGGCTTTGTCACATTCTAGGATTGTTATTAAAGGCAAGAATGGTAAAAATCACCACCTGACTTACAGCAGTCATTTCTGCTATTTAACAGTATTATTATTATTTTTTTTTAGAGACAGGGTCTCACTATGTTGCCCAGGCTGGATACAACTTCTTAGGTTCAAGCAATCCTCATGCCTCAGTCTCCCCAGTAGCTAGGACTACAAGTGTACGCCACTGAGCTCAACAGTGCTTTCTAAGCTACAGGTTATAATCTACCAGGTCATAGCATCAACTTAGTGGGTTGCTACTAACATTTTCAAAAAATGAAGTCAAAAAGAGAGGAAATTATCAGTATGTATTGCAGAAAGCAAAAGTAATGTTTCATGAAACTTGTATTTCAAATGTATATGTATATACATGTACTGGGTCCTGAAAGAAAATGTATGTCTTACACTGAATTAAAATATAAAAAAGTAGCCAGGCGTGGTGGCTCATGCCTGTAATTCCAGTTCTTTGGGAGGCCGAGGTGGGTGGATCACTGAGGTAAGGAGTTCAAGGCCACCCTGACAAACCCTTGACAAACATGGTGAAACCCTGCCTCTACTAAAATTACAAAAATTAGCCAGGTGTGGTGGCGGGCGCCTATAGTCCCAGCTACTCTGTAGGCTCAGGCAGGAGAACCACTTGAACCCAGGAGGCGGAGGTTGCAGTGAACTGAGATCACACCACTGCACTCCTGCCTGGGCAACAGAGAGAGACTCCATCTAAAAAAAAAAAAAGAAGAAGAAGAAGAAAAAAGAAAAGAAAAAAGAAGAAGAAGGAAAAAATATATATATATATATACGTTTGAAAACCACTGAACTATTGGAAGCTTGAAGGAACTAGACCAAGACTGTATACTACAGAGAGACTGTGTATGGATCAATCAAATACTTGTGAATTGTGAAGTTCATGGGTCAACTGAACATGCCACAGTTAATATACAAAGGTTACTGCCAGAGTTACTATCAGAGCTATTTAAAAACCCTCACATTATCCTAGAGCTAGGAAATGTGAACTCTCAGTTTGAAAACACAGGAAACCACCACTGAAACTGAGCTGAGAGAGAATGGGGGCTTGTTACATAGCCCCCTGTGGCATTTATCAAGATGAAAGAAATATGGACTGTGGAAGGAAATGAGATGACAGTTTTTACTTCTAGAGTGTCACAGGCCATGGCCACAACCAAAGGACTCATTCATTGACTGAGAAACTAAGCTTCTTAGAAGTGGGGTAGTTGAAGTGGTTATAAGAAACAAGGAAAGAAAAAACCACTCTTTCAGGTCCTGCCAAACTAGCCCATCCTTCCTGGCACAGTTAACCAAGGGTCAAACTCTGAGTATGGCTGAATTATTCTATCCCTATCCACTCCTGACCCTGCCATAGTCACATACCCATTTGGTCTAGTTAAATAGCCCAGTCCTAACTATCCAATAGGAAAGGAAACACAGACCAAGAGAGAAGTATTTCCTAAGTGATAATATATAAAGTCTTAGACAATATGATATCTTACGAGATGACACAGGATCTGTGCTCTCTTTGGGAGTTTATGAGAGAAACTAAGATACTCTTCAAATAACAAGATCTCCATGTCTCCTTACATTGAGCCAGACCTGTCCTCACATTCCCATGTTCCTTATAAAGTAGGAGAAATTATCTGTCCTCTGTACCACTTAGTAAATTAATGGTTAGGTCTAAGGAAGAACCCACAAAATTCTTCACTTGGTCTCAATTCTAATAAGAACAATACTCATCGATCATCTTATCATTCCTTTTTGAAAGAGGTAACTAGAGACAATTCCAGCAATATCTTCTGGTTAAGAAATGAGAAAGGATTTCTAACTTTGATTACAATTATTCTGTAAAAGCATGCTGAGATATAAGTATCACATATTCCTTTCATTTTCATTAGAAATGGAGATAAGGAAGTGGGGAGACAAGCAAACTACTCAGGGCCTTGCAGCATGGTAAGAAGAGGCAGGAATGGGTATTGCTACAGTCTTGTTTGTTTTTCAACTTCCCAGATTATGTTCCTCTGACTCCACTAGCCACTGCTGCTCAGAGTTCAGACTATGTATCATCGAATTACTTTTCTAGAAAGTCAAAATAAAAGGAAAGCTGGTATATACGTATACAATTGGTAGAGAAGTATGAGATTGGTACCTGTAAGAGAGCATGGTGCATCGTTACCTCCAGTTCCGCTAAAACATGAGCAGCATCCTCATTGTTCTCTTGGACCTCCAGATCCTCCTCAGGGATGGTCTCCCAGTTGCCCTGGTGAGCCACCAGCGTGTGCACTAGTTCATACTGTCCAGGGAGCGCCAGGCTCACCCGAGTCTGAGTTCCATAGGTGAAGCGGAGGCGCCGAAGCTTACAGCTCTCCTCACTGCCCAGCTTGGTGGTGGGAAGCACCTGCACCCCCAACAGCAGGTTCAACAGCTGGCACTTGACATTACAATCCTGGCCGAGGATCACTATGCAAGGGAGGCAGTCCACAATCTGCTGGAGGTACTTCTCTTCCTTAGGCGGGAAGGAAATGCAGCTCAGTTGGCCTGGTTGGGGAAGGGGAGAGTGGAGGAGGAGAAAGGAGTAGAGAGAGAGGAGTGAGGAAGGGGAGAGAGAGAGACTCACACAGAAATCCCACGAGGATGACAGGGTCCTTGAGGAGCAATTTCTAGGAACCTTGGTTGAAGGACATATCGGGGAAAAACCCCAGTGAGAAAAGGCTCTTCACATACCAAACAGAATTCCCTTCCCTAGCTCATCCCCTAGGAACAAGTTGTTATTTCTACTCAGAAACGTGGGAGTGACCTGATCTTCCCGCCCCGCTCCTTTTTCATTCAGTGGAGGGACAGCCTAAGGAGTTTACAAGGACTCCATCACAAATACCAAGATTATTAAAATAACAAAGCCAGAAAAACTATACTGGTTGGGATGTGAGCCCAAGGAGAAACATACCTGAATGTGTCAAAATTAAACCCTTCCTTCTGACAGAGGACCTAATACTTGAACACAGATTACAGTCATGTGTTGCTTAACAACAGGCATATATTCTGAGAAATGCATCATCAGGCGATTTTGTCACTGTGTGAACATCAGAGTATACTTACACAAACCTAGGTGGTATGGGTACAGCCTACTACACACCTAGGCTATAGGGTGTAGCCTATTGCTCTTAGGCTACAAACGTGTACAGCATGTTACTGTACTGAATACTACAGATAGCTGTAACACAATCTTAAGTATTTGTGTATCTAAACATATCTAAATATAGAAAAGGTGTGCTAAAAATACTGTACCTTTGTTGACCAAGATGCCATCATGTAGCACATAATACAGCACTATAGAGCCCTTTTAAATTTATCTACCATATGCGGTTTTAGCTTATGTTCTTCACTGTGACATATTTTACTACTAAATGTATGAGCTATAAATATATAAAATGTATAAATGTATAAAATGAAGTGCTATTCAGGTTTGCATAAGCTCTAGAATCTTTTCCAGTTCATCGCTCTGATAGCTGGTGACAACATCCCAGCTGCCAAGTCATCTGTTTCCTTAAAACACTGGGGTGCTCAATTAACATCAATACCTCCTAATCAAATCACATTCCTTCTGTTTATGGGAGACAAGACCCTAAATAGGACAAAGGGAAATAACTGCCTGTTAGGATAAAATCTAGGCAAATCTAGAAAGAGATGTGATTTATCTCAAAAACATTCTCCATGATGGACATCCCAATTACCCTGATTTGACCATTACCACATTGTTACCCACATATCGAAATACCACATGTATCCTATAAATACCACATGTATCCTATAAATATGTACAATTACTATGTGTCAATTAAAAAATCTGTTTTTCACCAACCTGATGTTTTGTACAAAAAATAATAAAAAATAAAAATCTAAAACAAAAACAAAAACAAAAAAACTTCTCCTTTCAAGGCAACTACTACTAATTTAAATGGATAACTTCCCCAAACACATTCAAATAATGTTCAAGACAGAACAAGCTTCCTAAAGAATGAGAATCTCTGTCTGGGAAAAATAACCCGAAATTCGTTCACTGAAATTCTCAGTCTGAATTATATCGCTTCCTTATTCCCTCAATATCAGTGTCTGCCTACCTCTAAGATTCAGGCAATTCCCGCATTTGTTCAGAACAGCACAGACACACAGTTCTTAGGCTACAAAAAGGACAATCCTTGAGCCAAACACATCCATCATAATTGAAATTTTGGGTGGCACTAACTGAAACAGTATTTGTTTTAGTCACTTAACCATAAGCTGCATTAAATTATTTGTAGGCCATTTATTTTGTTTGTTGCCGGAATTGAAGCAAGAGAGGCCTGAGTCAATTAAGAGGTGGTTCTACTTCAGAGTGAACCTACCCAGCTACAATTTCAAATCCCTAAGCATCCTTCTCTTCCACAAACAGTAATGCCAAAAGGGTTAAAGAGGTCTGTGTTCACGCAAATCCCTCTATGCATTTCATTAGGGCCCTTCTTTTCATATCTCTCTGTCTATAAGGATATCACCCTGGCCTGCATATATACATCAGCAACACCAGACACTGAAACAAGCCAATCTACTCTCCTGGGAAAGAGATGAGTTCCTTTCAAAAACCAAACAGAGTTAACTAAGTATATAATTCTGTGCAAGGGTATTTACTAAATACAAGAGTGTAACACCAGACAACTAGTCTACTCTTTTGATCTACAACCTAAAAGCAAGAGGACACAGCCAATTGCTTGTGTGGTCATTAACAAGCAGCAGCAAGCCAGTCCTGAGTCCCTTCATACCTTATTCACAACTGCAGAACACTTATCATGCTTTATTCTAATGATCTGTTTATAATCATCAAAAGCAGGAAGAACCATCCTATTTCATCCTCAACACCCAGCACAATGCCTGACACATACCAAGGGCTTAATGTTACAGATCTGTTTGTTTTGTCTGAGAATCCATTTAGTGGGGAGAGCTACCTATAGAAAGCTGTAAGCAAACCCACTGAGTACTTTGAAAAGTCCAGTATCATGATGAATAGTTTAAGAGCAACCATCACTCCTAAAAACCTCCTTCACGCGGATAAAGAATAGGACCCTTCGGTCAGATGCAGTGGTTCACATCTGTAATCCCAGCAGTTTGAGAGGCGGAGGCGGGCAGATCACCTGAGGTCAGGAGTTCGAAACCAGCCTGGCCAACATGGCGAAACTCTGTCTCTACCAAAAATACAAAAAATTAGCCGGGCATGGTGGTAATCCCAGGTTCTTGGGAGGCTGAGGCAGGAGAATCGCTTGAACCCAGGAAGCAGAGATTGCAGTGAGCCAAGATCGTGCCATTGCATTCCAGCCTGGGCAACAGAGCAAGATTCCATCTCAAAAAAAAAAAAAAAAAAACAAGAACAGGACCCTTCCATTCATCTTGTGGAATTTAACTACCATAGTCTTAGCTCGAGCAGTGAGAAGTCCAGCTAGAGTGTCTTCACCCTCATCTACACTTCCTAGCTTTCTTCTGTTCCCAGTCCTCCCCAGATTTTCACATAAGTGTCTACATGTGAATGCATACTGACAACCTTTAAATTCTTATAATAAAAATGGTTTCATCACAAAAAGACCAACAAACCTAACTAACCTTTGTTATTGCTACTACCAGGAGAGTGGATAATAGAGAAGAAAACCAACTAAATCACTTTTCAGGACCAGAGGGAGAAAGCATCTGCACCTCTGAGACAAAGTGTCAACTACAGGACAGCCAATGAAACAGGCTGCATCAGCCAAAACCACAGCAGACACACCCCATTATTCATCTGACCCCAATGAACACTCCCCACCTCCATCTTTCCTACAAAAAGTCACCACAAATAAACTTGCTACTGTCAAACCAACCAAAGACCAGTGCAATAGGAAAGGGTGCTGAAGTTGAGCCCAGTACACTGTTAGAAGTCTATGGCAAACATCACTGTCTCTGTTTTCCAACACGTCACTATCCAAGCCCTTTGCTTCTCCCACTAAATCTTTAGCTTTTTCATCCATCTGACATCTCTATCGGATTTGAACAAGGGCTTGGAGAGAAATGAAGTTGAAAGCAGATGGTTTTACTCCTGGATTCTGAGCACACTGCTCAGTGATGTGGAGTGCAATATGGAAGCGGGAACAGCATGAGAATGAAGGCATGCTTTGCCACTCTGACTAGCTCTGTGACCTTGGCAATCCACTCGATCTTTCTGAGCCTTGAAATGCTCATCGGTAAATGCAGGGGGGTGGAGTTGGATTAGATCATCTTTAACATGCTTTCCAGTTCTAAAATGCCAGGTTTTAACTGCTGAAAGAACAATGATGTGAGGGGGATGGGTGGTTGGTCTGGTTGTTTTTATTTTGTTTTAAATTATGTGAATCTATGCAAGCGCCCCTTGGACCACTATAACTGCAGATCAAAAAGTAGACTGAACTAGCCAGGGGCTCTGAGGACCTACATTGCAGTCTCAGCAGTTCTCTAAAGAAAAGATTAAAAGCTGTAGACTGACAGTAGAAGGGAGGAAGAAAACCTGTTTCAGAGCTGGAGCAGCTGCCTCACTGACAGTTAAAGGACTTCCAAGTTAATCGAGTTTTCTTTTGTAATTAATACAACAGCATCTGCATATGGGCTGCCAGAAGGTAACAGCATGGCTTCTCAGCTGGCGCACATTAACCCTGCCAACTCTGGCTGGGGGAAAATTCATACCAAATCGTCTTAAGTGCAAACCAAGGCTTTTGTTGTTGTTGTTGTTCTTGGTGGTTGTTCTTAAATACAGATTTTGATTTTTTGTTTACTTCTAAACAAAAGTTTCAAGCTAGATGGAAGAGAAGAACAACTAAAGCAGCAACCCATTTTGGTTTTTGTTTTAGATAACATTTATTGAGCCCTTTATATGTATTGATCACTTTATTTGCTTCGTCTCATTTAAAGCTCATAATTCTACCAGACAAAGACTATTATTAACTCCATTTAAAAATGAAGAAATGGGCCAGGAGTGGTGGCTCATGCCTCTAATCCCAGCACTTCGGGAGGCCAACATGGATGGACGGCTTGAGCTCAGAAGTGAGAGACCAGCCTGGACAACAAAGGGAGCAACCCCCGCCGCGCCTTTGTTTCTACTAAAAATTTTTTAAAAATCAGCTACGCATGGTGGTGTGCTCCTCAGGAGGCTGAGGTGTGAAGACTGCTTGACCCGAGGGAGACTGAGGCTGCAGTGACCTGTGATCACACTGCTGTGTGACTCTCTTGGGTGAGTCACCTGCCTCAAAAAATAATAATAAAGATGAGGAAATGGATGCTCAAAAAACCAAACCAGGCTGGGCGCGGTGGCTCACGCCTATAATCCCAGGACTTTGGGAGGCTGAGGCGGGTGGATCACCTGAGGTCAGGAGTTCGAGACCAGCCTGGCCAACATGGTGAAACCCCATCTCTACTAAAAATACAAAAACTAGCCAAGCATGGTGGCTGATGCCTGTAATCCCAGCTATTCGGGAGGCTGAGGCAGGAGAATTGCTTGAACTCGAGAGGCA